CCCGGCTGCCCATCGGTCTCTGGAAGTCGCTGCTGGCTCCACGGCCGGAGGACAGACAGACAGACAGATGCAGGCAGGTACGGTACTTACGCCCTCCCCGGACGCGCGATGAAGCACAACGTGTACAGGCCAAACTCAAACTCGGGGCTGCAGCCGATGAAGGCAGAGCCCACCTCCTTGTAAAAGCCGTCCCAGCTGAACTGCAGCCCCAGCACGTCGGGGTAGGTGTCCCACTAGAGAAAGGGGGTTTGGGGGTCAGACCTCTGGCTCCCCTTGGCTCTGGGTGCAACAAGGCAGGGAATTCAAGCAAAGCCCATCTGCGTATGAAGCCAGGCATCCTCGCACCCTCTCCAGGGACAGATCCAGAGCAGCTTTCAGATGGTCTGAGGGGCTGCCAGACAGAGGCCCCCAGTCTCAAATCTCTCGCTTGTAGTTTGGGAGCCCCTTTTGCCCATTGCATCGTCTTTTCTGGACCTTCCCACCGTGCCTCCATCCCAGGGTCCACACAGGGAGGCAGAGGGGATGCGGCAGGGCGAGCACCTCTGAGGATTCTGATTCGCCCTATTTGGGACGCTGCCGGCTGGTGCAGCGCCGCCGGCTGCAGACCCCACAGGTTCACTTACCGGCCCGTTGAAGTTGTGGCTGAAGTAGTTGACGATGCCCTGCTTTTCAAGGAGGTAGAAGCGAATCCAGTTGTGAAATCCAGACACTTTCCCTTTTTTCACCTCTCCTAAACACAAGCGAGACCCTGGGGTGAGCCCCCCAGCCTGGTGCTGCCCAGCACCCCCTGTCCCACCGGTGCAGGCTCTACCTGAGAAGATGTGCTCGAAGCCGCTGGAGTCCTGCTCGCCATCACCTCTGGAGTAGAGGCCGAACCACATCTCCTTCAAATCGGCGACGAACTCCTGCTCGGAGCCGTAGCGGTCTGCAGGCAAGGTGGCGTGGAGAGGTGGGAGCAGTGTCCCGGGATGGGAGCACTGGGAGAGGCAGAGCTGGGGCTCCCCCCGATCCCTGACCCAGTCCTCTCCCTCAGGAACAATTCAGCTTTGCCCTGCTCAATTCTCCCACGTCCTGGCAGCTCTGGAGAGCCTGCTCCCGTGCTCCTCCAGTCTGCATCCTCCCAGGTCACCTCCCACCCAGCCGGGGCTTTCATTTTGGATGCCCAACATCCAGGGACCCCATTCCCCCTGGTCAGTCCTGCCCTGCTCCACGCTCACTTTTTTTGTGGAGGAAGGCGAAGAGTTTCTTCATGAGCTCGGTTTTCATCACCTCCTTGAGGAAGTTGTCCTGCTCCCTCAGCTCCTCCGCCGTCACGTCCTCCTCCCTGCCAGTCACCCTCTGGTAGTTGTCCAGCAGTTTAATGAAGCTTGCGTAGGTGGGTTTGGAGAAGAGCGCCTCATTGACGTATTTGTAAAGCCTAGGAGAGAGCGGATCCTGCACTCAGCGGGGAAGCAGAGGTCCCCTCCAAAACCAGCCCCACAGCCTGCCCAGCTGGCTGGTCTCTGTCGTGGTGGCCCCTGGCCACCCCCTGAGGATGCTGGCGCACGCTCACGGCTGCGGGGAGTGGTCCTCCTGGTCACCCGTCTCATCGGGGGAGGCCTGGTACTGGGGGTTAATGGCGATGTCTGTCGGCCGGGCTTTGTTGTGATCTGCCTCGTAAAGCTGCTCCGAGATGTGCAAGAGGTCCTCGTCAGCGATGGCGTCCCGGCTGCTGGAGAAACCCACTGCAAGGAGAGGCAGGAGGCTGGCAAGAGCAGACAGCAGCTCCTGGGGCTGCCGATTAGCTGCCCACGGAGAAGCGAGGGTGATGCAGCACCTGATGCTGCACCGATGCACGGGTGTCACCACCCTGGGACACCGTGAGAGCCGGGCGCTCAGCACGGAGGGTTAAGGGGTGCAGGGGTGGCAGGGGGGTCCCCAACCCTCCCCCACCCCACGCCCCAGGGAAAAGAGCTGGCCACAGGGCTGCAGGAGCAGGAGCCTTTCGTTAAGCACTGGGAGAGCTGGGAAGCATCAGTCCCCGTCTCCCAGGCACGACGCCGCTCTTCGCGACACGTCTGCTGGGATCAGCCCCCTCTCGATCTCCCACGTTTCAGGTGCGTGGTGACCAGGGGGTGCAAACGCCAGCTCGCCCCTGCCTCTGGCCGCTCTGCGCCCGCCTCTTTCACCCGGCTCTGGTGAAGGGAGGTAACGCTGCTGGTAAATAGGCAGGCGATGCTGGGGCTCTCGCTGCACCGTCTGCTCAGCAACGACACGCAGTGGCTTGGAGGGGCTGGGGGGTGGGGGGGGCGCGGCGCGG